GTGTGTGTGTGTGTGTGTGCGTGCGTGCGTGCGTGTGTGTGTGCGTGCGTGTGTGTGTGTGTGTGTGTGTGTGTGTGTTTATGTGTGTGTGTGTGTGTGTGTGTGTGTGTGTGTGTGCGTGTGTATAATGTGACATCACTTCACGTGATCACGTGATCATGGCCTTTACACTAATTTTTAAAATTTTTCTAACTCGCGTCCGCGCTTAATGCAGTAATTATAATTTTAATGACAAAATTAATGAAAGTAATCCCATTAATTTACTCTCACCCCCCGGAGGGTGGCGGGGGCGCCTTCCGACACAATAGCAACCCCCCCCCCCACCCCACACACACACACAACTACCGGAGACAATTCCTTTAACTCGTCCACTCACCTGAGAAGCGCAAGGTCACGAGGTCATTCGAGGTCACGAAGCGAGTCAAGGTCACGAGGAGATTCAAGGTCAAATCACGATTAGATGAACCGCGGTGAGCGGCGAGGAAGGCGATGAAAGAAAAGAGAGAAAGAAAAAGCGCACAATTAGCAAGGCAAAGGGTTAAACCGCAGTACGTACACAGACGTCAATCACTACACACACTAGGTCACGTTACGGGGCAAAGAGTTAAACCGCGGCACGTCAATCACTACACACACACTGAGTGACGTCACGGCACGTGGTTTGCGACAATGCACGGCGGGGGGGAGGAGGATCGAAACCACTCGGCGGGATTCCAACCACGGTCCCCTAACTCCCCGTCGCCCGCCACGCACGGTTGGGGGAGGGAGCCAGGGGGGAGGTCCTCATTCTCTCAACTCAGCTAGGAGTGAGGAAAAAGGCGAAGACAAAAGAGGCGAGAGAGAAGCCAGTGTAACATGTGGACAGTGAGTAGTAACATATGGTGAGGGTCGCTGCAGGGTGAAATACATCCAAACGTCGTCCAACAATTCGGTAATATTAATATAACGATATACGCGAGGTTGAATAATTCCCAACAGAATACAACTTGTAATATATACAATATAACATAATATATCTGGGTAACAAGTATAGCAACAAAATAGTGAGGGGGTGGACAGACACGTCAATGATGGCGAATTGGACACAGGACAGGACATAGAGACAGGACAAGACAGGTAAGGACATGGAGACAGGACAGGACAGGACAGGTCAGGACAGGACATGGAGACAGGACAGGACAGGACAAGACATATCGCCACAAGAACGCACATCTAACGGGCGGCGGTATCGATCAAAAGAACTCGACAACTCGGCGACAACAAAGTACACACCGACACGACGATCGAAACACACACAAAACACACAACATTAAATTTCACGACGTTCGCTTCTGAAGTTTACTTTAGCGGCCAGCAGATGGCGCAGCAGGCGCGCGCGGGGGCTGATCGGCTGCTGAGTATTGGCGGATATCGCGCGCGCCGCCCGCGTCAATAATGCATCGCGTTTTACTTGATCCCTCTCTACTGTTTTGTCTCTCACAAAACACGCCGCTCTAGATCTCTCTAGATCTCTCTCGCTCTCTCTCTCTC